ACGCAACCCTCGTGCATCACCTCAGTGTCAATCAATTTTGCATGAAAGTTGATTTGAAACATTCTTATGGTCAGTTCTGAGTTCAAGTGTATAACACACTCAACTAACATCCAGCGAAATTCATCTTCCCGGTTTCACCAAAACGCTTATTAAAAACTTACATGTATTTTGTAAATTATCCTTTTTAAGACATAAATAAGATGTATCCCGTAGATTATACATGTAAGATTTTAAGAGAAAAATACAATAACGTAACATAGAATTGCAAATTTCTGATGAAGTTGTTTTCCAGCTAACAGGCACGTAGTTGCTGGCACCCCCCCCCCCTACACACACACACACAGTTTATACTACGATAAAGTTATATAAGGGAAATGTAGTATTGTATACCAAGGAATTGGTACTGAAATAAGTAGCTTTTTCGACTTTGGGCAAGGTTTTTCTTTGCTTGTCAACTTTTCCAGGTAAGAAAAAAAATAATTCTTTGCCCCCCCCCCCACTTTTAAAGACGATGCTACGTGCCTATGTAATTTGTAGAGCTTTCTAGAAAGGGGGGGGGGTAACAGACCTTTTATAAAATCGCTTATTATCTAAAAAATAATTTGCAAACCGTTTCCTTCTTTTAAAATTTTTAAATGCAGCGTGTAAGTTGATCACTATTTTGTTGGATAATCGTAATGCGTAGTCCGCGGAAGTTATGTTAGTGTAGAAGAGTTCCGATTTCGAGGGGAGATAACTCACTTTTGAAAATGGGGAATTGAGAATGGATGTGGCATGATAAAATCAAGGATCATCGGGAAATCATGAATAAATACACTTAAATTGATTGCAGCAAACAACTACCGAATAGATAACAAAAACATCCATATGTATAATAGCCATTAACTATTTTTCTAAATATCTAATTTTACAAAAAAATTGTCCTTTAAAATTGCACCAACCTCATTCATTGATTCTTTGATTGAAAAGGGATTAACGGAAGTTGACTCAGGGGGAATAACTCTAACTGATTGTAGGGATTATAGGCGGATCTAAAGCTTGTATTATATATGGGAAATGAACACTTTCTTCGATAAAAGCCTCCAATTGGAATAGAATTGGATGTGGTAATATAATGAAAATTATTTAAAAAATTGACGACTTTGTTAACTGATTTTTCAGATAGTTAGTTGGTCATATTTTTTTTCTAACTATAGGACACAGCTACTTGAAAAAGGAACGACTGAATAATCGTTGACTACTAGTAGTTTATCATGAGTTAAACCTAAAAAATTCAAAACCAATAATAAAATATCAAATATTTAGAACACAATATGTAAATTTTCTAGTCCAATCCTGTATCAGCTCGAAAGATCAATATCTGAGAAAGCCCCCCCCCCCCCCCCAACCACCACCACCATAGCAGCAACATCATACAACTCAATAACACTCTAGATATAATTTGAGTTTCAAAGAATTTAATATATTAATTGAGAGTTTAAACAATAAAAACCTTTTCAGTCACTGAAGAGAAACAATTCCAGAAATCAAAAGATCAAAATTCTGCGAAATCTCTTTTTCTGTGTTAAATCTGCAGCTAGAAATTTGCGTGGATTTCTTACACTCGAAAAGTTCGTGGACGATGTCGATATTTATTATATTGCTCACTAGAAATTTAAAATACGTACAATATAATATGTAAACATATTTGTTTTGCTGGTGTGTGAAGTTTCATTCCATTTGATTTTACTCGCACGAATCGATGTAACAGTTCTAAATTTGAATTTAAAGGATGTTTTTCGGTTTTGCTCCATTTTACAGTGAATATCACTAAACATTATTAAGTGTATTGTTTGTAACTTACTAAATTTTGACCAGCTAGGCTATAGATTTTTGCATTTTTTAAAATCTGGAAAAAAAATTGAAAAAATCGTGGAATTTAAAAATAAAATTACCAGAAAACCTTTGAATTTATTGTTAAGATATTTCTACATAATTTGGATAACATTTGAAGTCAAATAAAAAAAAATATGTGTCAGTATTCCACGAACTTTTCGAACAACCCTCGTATATGCATAAAACGGGTATTAGAGAACACCAAACACGCAAGGATCGAAGGTATATCAACGATATTAACCGTATTACTAGTTTATAAATACCATCACGTGCTCTATCTTTATTTTGTAGTTACCTCAAAGGCGGATCCAGCACCGGGGCACTGGGCGTGTGCCCCTTCCCCCATTTGATTTTTTTTAAAAATAGTGTTTATATCTTAAATCAACAGGGAAACACCTCAAATATGTTATGTGTCTTGGACCTACTTGGGGCTTTATTGCAGCCCCAGACTTCCCAGTCTTCTACTCCCCCCCCCACCCCTCCCCCTCCAACGTTTTGAAATTCCTGGAGCCGCTGAATAAATATTTAGACACAGTTTAACTGCTAGGGCATATTTCCACATTTCCTAGTTAGATATGGACGACCATTATCGGTTTATTATATTTATGTCGGGTTCCTTATATCGACACCCTATACTAGATTGGAACTTGCATCTTTTGTTAAATTGTGCTCAGCTCTTGCAAAGCTTTAAGCATCGTATTGGTAATTGTAACAACCTCCAAGTATGGCACGCCAAATTCACCAAATGAGCTAAACATATATTGTTTCACAGTTGATAAACTAGATTTATCAACTGTAAACTATAGCTAACAAACCGTTAACTATTCATTTACTATAGTTTCATCTGTAAAATTATATTTAAGGGTTGTTACCTAAATTGATTCCGAATGCTAATCTAAGTTTATATGTCTGTAATAGAATGTTTACAATAAATTTTGTTGATAAACTCTGTACAAAAATAATTTTTATCTTTCCATACGTGTGATTCGTCTGTACGATTCGTCAATTACACAGGTAATCACAAAGTAAACAACTTTACCGCTACGTGTTTGGTGTTCTCTATTAGGCACAGCAAGTAAAATCTCCGAGGAAAATTTGTGACCGCGTATATAACCTTAATTATAACCACTTGAAAAAAAGTACTTATGCAGTATATGAATCATTTTACTTATACAGTATATGAATCATTTTACACATCGCTTAAACCAGCATGTGCATGTACTTGCACACAAAATGAAATTAGACGATCACATTCATAGAATTTGCCTATCACCTCTAAAAGATGTCTCGATTTAATTAGATGAACAGTTTCAAATAACAATCAGTGTCAAACTTAGACACATTCTTAACACTCCGAGCCGTTGAACAGAGAGAAATCTTTATTTTAGATATATTGAAATCGCATTTTTACGGAACCGTTTAAGTGCTACGCAATATTTTATTTAAGTTAGAAATTCCAACTTTTATCTTGGTTATTCCAAATTTAAAGATGGTAATTCCAACTTTAATCTTTGCTTTTCCAACTGTAAAGTTGTTATCTCCCCCTTTTTATTTTAGTTTTTCCTTTTTATTTTAAACCATAACCAACTTTATTAATCTAAATATTATACACTGGAATAGACTGGTTATCAATAAATTTTCGCAACCTAGATGAGGGGGAAGGGGGCTGTTGCAGAAGAGAGGCTCATTAAGAAGGGCGGACGGGCCCATAGGGAGCTACGGTATAAAACTTGAATTATGATTAATAAAGTTAATATATACAACTACACTGAAATAAACTGGTGAGCACTTTTTATCTGTGTCAGTTAATTTATTTGTTCAGTGTCAAAATTTTATTAATTACAAATAAATATACATGTAATGGCTGCTGTAGGATCCTATTTTATGTTAGTATAAATTTCTTAAGTTATATCAAATTATAAAATGCTTTCTTTGGATGATAGTATGGGAATTAATGTCGCAGCTGTTGCAGGAAGAAAATAAATAACCCTCGTATAAAGAGACTTTCAGTTTACTCCGTAAATGACAGGATTTCAACCTTGGACATTTGAAAAAAGAGACCATATCAATTCTGTATATTCTACATGATATTTTCAGTGTAGGGCACTATCAACAACCAACTACCAATATTATATGTCTGCAACTTATTGCATTATTGGTGGGGGAGGGGGGTCGGCAAGCCACCATGCATCCCCTCCGGCTCCTACGGTCATGCGCAATAAAATTATTCCTTCTAAAATCGTCATTTTATAATAAAATTGTATCTTTTAATTTTAGTTAAATGTATAAAGCGTATCACGATTTAAGCTACAAAGTATCTCAGACAATATAATTCATAAACCCGGAAAAAAAAATTGGAATTACCAAGATAAAGTTGGAATTACCAAGATTAAAGTTGGAATTACTAACTTTAAAGTTGGAAGTACCAAGATGAAAGTTGGAATTACCAACTTTAATGTTGAAATAACCAAGATGAAAGTTGTAATTACCAAGATCATAGTTGGAATAACCAACTTTAAGGTTGGAATTACTAACTTTAAAGTTGGAATTACCAACTTTAAAGATGAAATTACAAACTTTAAAGTTGAATTTCCAACTTTAATGTAGGAATTACCAATTTTAAAGTTGGAATTACCAAGATTAAAGTTGGAATTACCAAGATGAAAGTTGTAATTACCAAGATTAATGTTGGAATTACCAACTTTTAAAAACATATTGCGTGGCACTAATACGCGTCCGTACATTTTTAATTAATAATGACAATTTCCATTCCTATGTGGATACGATATATCCTGGTGAGCTTGAAATAAAAGATACAACAGAGTCTGACACATCTCTATCATAAAGCTATTCATGATCACTTTAACTTTTCTATCGTCAACTTCCCTTACTTATGCAGCAATATATCTTCATCACCTGCATACGGAGTGTACATATTTCAGTTGATTCGAGAAATAAATTCTAAGAGACAGACGGAAACCGTAATAATAATAATAATAATAATAATAATAATAATAACAATTCTTAATTTCTGAAATACTTTTTTAATCTGTATCAAAAATTTTACATCAATAAGTAATTTCGTTTAAATATTCTATAATGAAACATATTGTATTAAACTACAGATGCAGAAAATACCTACAGAAGAAGATTTCTGGGGTTCTCTATTTATGTATCTAACACTACAGACAGAAAAGATGGTCACTTATGTTACCATGATACAAAGTATACCAGCTTTACAATACCCGCCGTCGTAAACATAACCTGTCTTGTCCATGGACAATACGTCATCTACTATAACGAAAGACTATCAGATGTAAATTATCCAGAGGGATATTCAAAGTATGCCTTTAATGAAATATGTGAATTGGAGGTTTATGGTATGTTGTATACTAATATGTAATGTAAAATAGGAAATCAAGAAGTTTTTTTTTTAATACATGTATAAAAAATATATCTAAATACATTACATTAGAACAAAATAAGCATATTGTACCGTATAGCGGTGTTTTTTTGGCGGGTGTAAAATTTGGCGTTTTGCCTACTTAAACGTATGCCAATAATTTTAGCCTAATTTATTTTAGTGGTTCAATTCAATAGTATTTCAATTCTTTTAAGATGAAAACAAAGAAGGGAATGGACTATTTTTGCGATAAATATTTAATCGGCCTACAATGCATCATAATAAGCCAAAATTAGCACCCCCGTTAAAATAACCCGCTCTATGGAATTTCTTGATCTATGTGACTTTGTTTAATATATTACACGTACTCAAAAGTTAAGGACCACTAACTTTGATATAAAAATTGAAAGTAAAAAAAAATATTTTTGATTGAATACATTCAGAATTACTAGTCAATCGAAAGTTTATGTATTATTTGTATTTATGTTACATCGATATCTCCATTCAAATACTTGTAAAACCGGTTTCTTCAAAGCCACCAATGCATGTTCGAACAACGCAGTTTTCAATTGTATCCACATCTTTGTTCTCATAAGCTTAAGTGATAGGAAAAAAATGTTTTAAGTTCGTACAATCATGCCTCGTCGAAAACTATCGGATGCTGAACGTTGGCACGCCATTAAAATGGTAAACACTGGAATTACGTATAGGAGGGTTATCGAACACTTTAATATCAGTTACACTAATTTTGCGTCTGGGACAGCGCTGGAGAAGAATTGGGGTTGTGGACGAAGCCACAAGATTGGGAAGACCCCGACAAACCACAGAAAGGGAAGATAGACTTCTAAAACGACAAGATAAACAGAGTCCTTTTAATACTGAAAACACGCTGAGAAGCAAATGGAACATCCAAGCTCGAATCAGCCGAAGCACAGTTAACAGGAGGCTAAACAAGGAATGGATGAGATTATGTTAGCCAATAAAACGTCCCAGAGAAACAAAGAAGAAAGACTACAACAGACAAGACAGCATAGGAGGTGGAACATTCGGTCATGACAGAGAATACATTGCTGATTCTTGCTTCACCCAGTAGAAGGCAGTGTTAGGGTATGGAGACACCCAAATTCTGCATACAAACAACAACATGTATTGGGAAGAAAGGCCTCTGGTGGAGGCGGAGTGACAGTGTGGGGATGTTTCTCTTTGCGTTGTAAACTGGTGTTACACATTCTTGATGGTACATTAACTGTTTAAAAGTACAGAGACAACATCCTTAACCCATTAGTTGTGCCCCATTTCGATGATCATTCATTAGCCAGTCGACCTGTACTAATGGATGACAACGCTAGACCTCAACGGGCCTGAAAATTTAAAGATTATCTTCGCAGAGAAGCCATTGAAACTATGCCCTGGCTCGCCATGAACGTGTGTGATATGAACCTAACTGAACATGTGTGATTATTTTGGTTGAAGAATTAAGCAGATGACCCCAAGTTGTGAAAACTCTCAGGAATTGAAAGACGCTTAATTCAGGAATGGAGACAGTTCCCCCAAAACCGCCTAAGATGACTTGTCCACAGTATGAGAAGGCAGGCAAAAGAACTGTACAAAAGTCGTGATGGATAGACGCATTATTAAATATCTATGCCTAAAAATGCTGAAAATTTTTTAGTCTTTAAGTATCAGTAAAGTTTGTAATGCTTACTGCTAGCCACTTTTGTCAAGATCAAATTAAAGTGAAACTTTTAAATCTGCTTTTTTGACTTGTATTCTTTTCATTGGAATATTATTATTTGAATAAAACAGATTAAGTGTACAGATGATTTCGAAACATGCATTGACTAAGGAAAGTATAGATCTACTCAGATTTTAAACCAAAAATTAAATGATTAATTGGATTGGTCTATGAAAAGGAAATGTTTAAAGAATTTTCACAGAACAAGTGATGGTCCCTAACTTTTGAGTAAGTGTATATTTGAGCTAGAGTTATTTTTAAGCACATTGATTTTCAATATATCTGGAAGTATATGTTGAAGATAAAGTAAGACGTGCCATCATCAGTAGCTGTTTTGGATGCATGGATTCTAAATGGGATGTCTTTTAGAATGCTTGCCATTTAGTATTTATATTATTCATTCAGAATTACCACTATGGAGGGATAACAAAATTTTCCTAGCTATTTTCACTTCAGGCGTGCAGCTAGGTTGAGGACTTTCGTATTTATGTTTTCGACAAAGCTCAAATGACGTCACGTTTAAACAATTGTCATGAATTTAGACGAATGAATAACATATGCTCGTTTTTAAACATACTAAACATACTCAAACACATTCTTGTATATTCCTGAATTCGCTAAATTATCTTAAATTTTTTTGGCGTCGAGGGGAGAACAAATTATTAGCTTTAGCAAGCCAAAAATAAGTTTCAATGAGTAAGGACAATTGATTGATTGTATATTGTTTAGCGTCTCTTTCGAGAGTTTTTCACTCATATAGAGACGTCACCGTATCCCTGTAAAGGGCTTCAAATTTAGACCTATACTCGGCACTTAGGGCCATTGAGCAGTGAGGGTTCTTTACCGTGCCAGCGCCTATCATGACACAGGACCTACATTATTATGAATAGGTTTCAAGAAAAAAAGACGTATAAGTTTAAATCTATTGCTTCAATGTTCTTTATTTTTTTAAAGGTTGCAGGATTGGATACTACGGACCGAACTGTTCTCTCCCCTGTCCTGACAAATGTCATCATTGTCATATAGAGATCGGTATATGCCATTTGTGTGAGTCCGGTTATCAGGGACTTCAGTGTGAATTTGGTAAGGAATCTAGAATTTGCAACAGTTTTTGTAGTATGTTGAATTATATATATTTACATCCACTGAATATTTTCTCCTTTATTTCTGAAGAAAACCCATTGCGTTAATCACTGCATGAATTACATTAGGCATGTCTCCTGTACAGATTTCTCGAACAGTGGCTGTTCCCATCAATGAAACTTATAAAAACGTTTGCATCATTAATATAATAATTAAACTTTTTAATCCTTCTTTGAATAATTATTTAAAGAGATATAAATATATACAATAAAATGTCTTTGTTTGTTCGCAGCACAGTTAAGGTTACAAAAAGGAGGCGGAGCCTAATTTGTACGGGAAAGCTTGACTATGACATCATACACAATATACGTCATACAACATTTCTTTAAAATACCACAAAATGAGTTTATCTGCTAATTTAACCAGTAAGAAATCATCAAACTACATAAAAACTTACTACAGAGTGTTGTTTTGTCGTTAGTAAATCCCACATAAAAATCTATAAACAAGTCACTGATCGCAATTCACTTGTCAATATGACGTCATTTCTTACAACGTGACGTAGTTTGTATGCAGTGAGAGACAGATCAAGTAATATTTTCTCAACAAAATATGTATTCGCTAATTAAATGAAATATTATTTACATATATTCTATGGGCAATTAACTTGAATTTAATGTCTTCTTCATTATTTTATTAATATATTTTCTGTACATTACGTATTTAATTGACACTGCCGTATATTTGTATGCAAGTGCATCGGAGGGTAATGTGGGGGTCTTAATAAATCGATCTAGTGCAAGGGCATACACTCTATGGATCAAAGTAAGCTTGTAAATTTCAACTATAGAGCTATTAAGGTATCTTAAAAGTGCTGCGATCCTGATGAAATCTTACAAACAATTTAATTATATCAATATTTCATGCCGCAGACCAGCAAAAAATATAGCATTCGGTCAAACAAGTATAATTTTAACAATGAAATTGCCGAATTTAGACAGGATCGCAGCACTTTTTAGAAACTACAATGCGTGTTGAAAATATTTATATACTAAACTTGGAAAAATATAACTTGGTTATGCCCTTGCACTAGTGATATTTATATGTAACATCAATACTTCATGTCAATGTGCTAAAATCGCGTGACTGCCGCATCACGTGACTAGTGTAAATATAAAATATAATCGTCCTCGATATGTAGTTATTATTCATAATAACAATTGTCCGATATAAATAATGTACTAAAAATAATCGCCATCCCGATTACGAATACATTTTTAAATACAAAATTCAGTCTATATTTCCATTACGCACCTTAACTTTACTGCGTTATTATTGGAATTAACGGTCGCAGCTATTGCAGAAAAAAATTACATAACCCGCGTTGGCTATGTATTTTTTTTTTCTGCAAGAGCTGCTTCCGTTAATTCCAGTAATAACAAATAAAGAATGCAATTTAATGTTTAAATGAGCGATATAAAATACAGAAAGTACTGGTCGCCATGAGACTACATGTAGTAGAAGCGCTCTAGTTTTAGGGCGGGGAGATTTAGTTTCGATTCATTGTTCTCTGCTCCGCTTAGAACCTTAGACGTCAAACATGTATTGAATGTACCCTCACCAAATACTTTTTCTAAGAGGTAAATGTCTCTTTTTTTTGGGGGGGGGGATCATAAACATGGATGCTCTGTGTCATCGTGTGTTAGCACGATAAAGCCGTAGGCGTATTAGGATATCTGATCCTCAGCCAGGAACTAACTAAAACTAACAGGATAACTAAAAAAATTAGTATTTAATTTGAAATGCATGAAAATGAAGCTTGAAAATTTATTTTTTTCATGCAACAATTTTTATTTTATTCATCTTTATAAGATGCAAGGTCTTTGCAAGTCTTTGCAAGTCGTGGAAAAGGTTTTTTTTTAATTTGACTTTTGTACCCTATAAAAGGAGAAAAAATTCAATACAATTTTAGAGAAATAAGATTTTCTTGAATCCAGCCTTAGATACCTATGATTATAAGCATGATATGAAATGAGAAGTAATTTGTGGTGTTTTGCAATGATTGCAAAAGCCATCTACACTATTTATTATGAAATACATGACGGAAATAGAAGAGAAAAATACCAAATAAGTATGAAAATCATGGCAATTTCTGTGAATGCCTGGATACCTACCATTTTTTTACCTAAATTATATTTTCTGATTAATTTGCAATTAGAAGATGCATTGATGATATTCCGATTCGCTTTTTCTGCAAAAATATTGGAGATTTGACAATTTTCCCTTTATAATATGATTAACTTTCATCTATAACTTTTAAGAAATATTGTGGATAAATTCACAAAACTTTGTGGATTCAGAGATATTTTAATGAGTATTTTTGATCACTTAACTGCTAATTTAATATACCTGAGGATCGGACTACCTTAAGTAAAAATTCAAGGCAACCCACGTAATGCAAAATCTGTAATGGTAATTTTCCTTGAATGGAACTTAAGTTAAGAATCAGTATAATCAATCTTTTAATGATACACAGAATTGAAACTATATTCTCAACTGTTTTCATAAAGTATTCAATTTAACATAATGCGCACTCTATGGATTCTACGATGACAATGCATTTTATTATACTCGTATTTAACAATCTGAAGTGGTATCCTCAGCAACATACTTGACAAGCGCAAGATTCTCCATCATTTCAAATTTTACTATGGCTCAAGAATTGCACTAAATACTAATATTGGCGGTAATTTCACGACAAATTCGCAAAGGAATCCCGAATCAAATTGAAAAACACATGTTAATTGTGCATCTATGAATCAATATTCAAACACAAAAACTTTTAGCATTAATTATTTGGCAAAATGTATGATGAATTTAAGAATGAAAATTTAAAAAAAAAGCGATATCGATTTAAAGTAGCGTAGAACAAAAATTGAATTATTTCCACAATATATACAGTGAAAAAGCCCCCCCCCCCCCCCACCTCCCCTTACCCAAACACGCATAAGAACTAAATAAATAGATATTTGCTGATACAATCTGAAAAGAAGTATCGGTAATAACAGGTTTTGAGTATTGAACTCTAATTTGATAAAAGATTGTTTTTTTCATAAGGTAAATATACACATGCAGGTTGCATTACAGATTGACAGAGGAAATTCTGGTAGGTCAAATATGACACATATACGAGTACTATGTTTTGAATTTGGGTGCAAGTGTTATGTAAGAGACATGGTTTACTGTAGAACTAGTTGAAATAATTGATATTTAAAATTGATTTTCCTTTGTAATTATTGTGAAGTGTCAAAAAAACGGCTTCAGGTTATGTGTCTAGCGCGGTCTAGAAGATAATTGATTGTGCAAGCCAAACAATGGGCCCTGCTTAGAGTAAATTATCAGTTTAACATAAGAAACTTAAAACGGTACATAATTTTGAGGTTTAGAAGTTTATCTGATTTTTTAAAAAAATACAATTTGTCTAACTGACAATGATGATCTTACTGTGGCGCTAATATTTTAACTTTGGTGGAACTATGGCGCTGAATTTTTAATTGTGGCGCTAAGAAATTTAACAGTGGCGGAGCCGCCACATTAAACAGCCTATGGAGAACCCTGAAGCCGTAACAAAATAAAATGAAAATCAAATGTTATACAAAAATAAATTATATTTTTATTGAGATATATTCGACATCAATTAGGAAAACAAGATTCATATTTGGCCTCTGGCTAAATAAGATAAGATTACAAACAGTCATTCAAATCTATCCTTAATTGATAATACTTGTTGGCATGAAAAACTTAAAGAATTCGTTTTTCTCCATAAAACAGTTTCACACGTCTATCGTTTCATACATCAAATATTTCGTATACATATATATTCATGTTAGATAATATGTTTGGTGGATAAAACGAGAAAAAAACCCCTTAAAAATGGCCATTAGATGTATTTGTTCTATGGGAAATTTAAAGTCTGAAAATCACAATACACGTTAATTAATTAATCAACGTTAACACACAACACACTTTCACCGATTTAAAGATTATTAATTTATCTTTTTAATCGCTTTTGTTTGAGAAGAATAACACGGAATTACAATTGACCGTAATATTCATTCAAATAGACACCATTAATGTATAATGAAAAAAACCTCATGCAAAACAAAGTTGTACATGAACGAATAACGTGTAACTTATGACGAAATTTATATATATACCCGGCTATTATGTTCTTGAGGCCGGTGTAACGTTGAATTTTGACCCGGGTTGAATATTGACCCGGGGGTCATTTTTCAACGTTGAATACTGAGACCAAAGGTGTTGAATTTAGACCCTAATCCGTTGAAAACTGAGCCGGGTCGTGGAATTTTGATCATGAAACCGGTTCAAAATTCAAAAGCATAAAAGCACATATTCATGATTGTGTTTTCACTACTGTGATTTAATTCATAGGTATGAGGCCCCGTTTTGGTATTTACTGCAAAAAGTAATATCCCCTACTTGAATAAGTGATATCACCTGTTCCAATCGATGATATCACCTATTTGATTTGAATTTGTGATATCACCAATTCGAAAAAATGATATCACCAATTCGAAAAGGTGATATCACTTATTCGAATTGGTGATATCGCCTATTCGATTGGGTGATATCACCTTTTCCCGTCGAACAGCTGTGATTTTTTTTTTGCTTACAAATCAATTTATTTCACTTATATATCATGTATACAACAAGAAAAACGTAGAAAACGAATGAAAACTGGGTAGTCCGAATTTTCTTGGTTCCAGTGGTAATCTATATATTATAGTGAGCATTCATTATTGACTGTTGTAAGAAACTCAAATACGTAATATCACCTTTTCGAATAGGTGATACCACTTATTCAAATAGATGATAGCACCTACTAGTATTTAGCACTATAAGGTGATATCACCTTTTATTCTAAGCTCTCTGATTGGCTCAAACTTGATCACATGATTAAGTATAATAAGACCATAAAGACTTGAGTTACTATTTATAGAATTTGAAATGCATATAATTGACTTCATGTTTTTTTTCTTGTGATCATATGCTATATTGCAGGAGTCCTTTTAGAAAATTTCATTAAAGTGAGTGACATCAAATAGTATTCCCCATTTTTTAAAGGTGAGTTATTTCCCCTGAAGGGAACTCTTTTACTGTGTTTAATTCGCATGCGCTATAAATAAAGTCACTTCCGCGGACCTTCTTGATGTAAACATCTTCAAGGTGTATGCCTCTTTCATATGGAAAAATGTTATTGTGTTTGTGAATAAAAAGAAATCTTAACTGATTCTTATTTTTTTTAATTGCCCACTCATAGTCTCTTTCTGGATTTGTATTAATCTGTGTAGCACTATAATAAGGTGCTGTGTAACACCCCCCCCCACCCCTTACAAAAAAAAAAAAAAAACGAAACAAATTACTGATAAGGTGCTGATTGATATTCGAATAGGCCTATTACAAAATAGCTAATTTTTAGTTATACAGTTTTTACGAATTAATCTAGCCTGCTGCAGCCATATTTTCTTTGTATCTCTGGGAATTTTTTGAAAACTGATAACATGTCCATCTACAGTTTTACCTCTGAAATTGCTGCATATACAGCAGCAGTTCGTCTTCCGTGACTGATACCAAGAAACTGCGTTTTTGCTCGATTGTATGTCATAACAGAGAACTTTTACTTACAAGAACACATTTGGTGACAATTAAAGGCCCATTTCATTTGAAATAAACGTGTTTATAGATTTTTTTATTTGTAAAATAATTGATTCACTATATAGTATTAAAACTTTGAATGGAATTCTAAATGAATAATTTTATCTCATGTACTCATGTAACGAAGAAAGACTAATTAAAATAGCATCGACCTGAATACGTGTTACATATGTCGCATAAAGTCTGAGCTGCATTTCATCAAAGTTTTAGTGTAGGATCTAATCATATATACATGTATATTCCCGAGTAAAATACACATTTTGTTTTAGACAAGAGAATTGATAGCAGAAACACGAAATTGATACAATAATTTCCTAGCGTATTTCTCGTTAATTAACGGAAAACATTCTTTTCTCAAGTGTTATTTTTTTTAAATCCTTTCAGTGTAAGTACATTTATTTATTTTTATAAGTTATTCTTTTTTTGCAAAGTTTGTAAAAACCAATATCAGAGAGAGAGAGAGAGAGAGAGAGAGAGAGAGAGAGAGAGAGAGAGAGAGAGAGAGACTCCGTGTACTAGTAACTGAAATACATGTACATCTGTGAAAAAATATATGTACCATAATTTTATTGAATTCACAATTAATAATTCTAACTTGATATTTTTAATTGTCACAACTATGGTTCATATTCAACTGTTCAACCCATTTACATATTCTCTGTACCTGTACGCAGGGAGGGGGGGTCAAGGGGTTTAGCCCCACCCCCACTTTTTTCCTAATATTACTTTTTCTATTGAAAATGTTGATTGATAGACAGGTTGCCACCCCCCCACCCCCCCACACACACACAGTTTACACTACGGTAAAGTTATATCAGGGAAATGGTACTGCAATAAGTAGCTTTTTCAACTTTGGGCAAGGTTTTTCTTTGCTTGTCAACTTTTCCAGGTAAGAAAAAAATATTTCTTGGGCTAACCCCCCCCCCCACTTTTAAAGACAATGCTACGTGCCTGGCTAATTCGTATAGCTTTCTAGAAAGGTGGGGGGGTGGGGGGGCTAACATACACTTTATAAAATAATTTATTATCTAAAAAAAAATGCAAACCGTTTCCTTCTTTTAAAATTTTTAAAGATAGTGTGTAAGTTGATCACTATATGGGAAGTTAGGCTAGTGTAGAAGAGTTCCGATTTTGAGGGGAGATAACTCACTTTTGAAAATGGGGAATTGATTTCTCAATTAAAGATAATACAGAGTATGACTTGATGTTTCTGAAAAAAAAAAATTACTACAACTTGTATCAATATTTTTTAATGTTCCGTAATTGATTAGACGTAACAATGCTTTAAAGTCTTGAATTAGGATCTACATGTACTTTATATTAAAACATATTGGATATCTTTGTCAAAAATTGATACGAGACATAATCAAATAATTAAATTAGTATTCTGAATAACTAAATCCTATATAATTACTCCATCGATGTATAAAACGAAACACATTTAATATTAAACAGCCACAGCTTAATTTATGCTGATATCTAGTCTCTAAGTCTTGAAGAGAGAAAACTTGTGCCTTATACCCATATTTTCAAATTTTGTTTTGTCAACCTATGTGATAAAATGAGTCATATACGATAATAATATTAAACTTTACATTCCTATTTAATTGAGTTTACAACCAATTGTAGTTTAATTTGTCATATTTCCCAGAATGCAATCATGGCAATTATTGAAAAAGAATAAAAAAAAAAACATCGCATAGGAGACCATAGAGATAAAATTATTTAATAAGATGAGAAGATTATAAAATAGGAATCGTATTTTTTCGAATAGAAATGGATGCTAGTATGTTTTCGAACAACAACTTTATTGCATATAAACCAAAAAATTATCGAATAAAAAAGATAAAAGAATAGGAATGACAAAATTAGCAACTAGCAACCGATTGTTTTAAATATTAATGACATCGAATAGGAAACGTAAAATGGCATGTGCCTGCTTGACCTTTAGTGCAATTGAAGATATAACAAAAAAAAATCACCTTCATCAATTTGCAAATAGAAAATAGATCATTTTTTAGGTTTTGATAATTTGATTCTGAAAAAAGGGGGATGATCTAGAAAAAAAATTCGAGTCAGATTATTGATTTTAAACTTTTTCGAGGACTGCATTTATTTTCAAAATCTGCCAGCCCCGCCCCCCCCCTTCCTCAGATACATGCAATGTATAACAAATATGTCTGTAAAATGCTACTCGTCCCCTCAATACCTCGATGTACTGTCTAATGAATTGGGCCATATTCCGCTTGTCTTTAATTAGAAGTTTTTAGAAAAAAAAATTACCTTTCAAAAACTACTGTTATCAGATTTAGATTAGTAATTACCAGAAATTCTTACTGAAATGTTTTGAAGAAGAGAGAGATCGACTTACCATTCTGACAGTAATGACGAATGTTTTGTTCGCAATCTCCAGCTCCTTGAGTCCTCCTTTGTACGTCTTTGTGCTACGACCAAAGAACTCGACGTAAGTCCCACTTTGATCCTCTCCAGTTGAAAACTGGTCACATTGCAGCTGGTGGTGCTCGTCGTGACCCCTCAGGACCATAGGGGCTTGTCTTCCGGATTGATACATGTAAAATAATTTTTTTAAACTTGTATCTACTTTTAATACACTCTAAAAGTTGATTTAATAAAGATTCTGACACGATCGGGCGAGAAAAATAATGTTTTAAAAAAGTACTACACCTATTATGTATATAGGTGTAGTTATTTTTTTAAAAACATTATTTTTCTCGCCTGATCGTGTCAGAATCTTTATTAAAGCAACTTTTAGAGTGAATTTAATGTAAATACAAATTGAAAAAAAATATTTTACATTTATCAATCCGGAAGACAAGCCCCTATGCTCAGGACAAACAACATACATGCATAAAAGAACACAGTACTCTGTAATGCCTTCGAATTTGAGATTCCAAAGACGCCTTTCTCCCAAAGCATTTCCTCGTGTTTTCGAGAAAAAAATATGTAAATTTAATGATATATGAATCATATTATCACATTTCCTGTAATTGGAATAGCAATTTATCGAATACAAATTATAAATAATGGAATAGAAATAACAAGTAATCAAATAGGAATCACATTGTATAGAATAAGATTTTTTTTAGAATAAGAATAATCTCATTCATAAGGTTATGGTCCGGAAGCGATCAAATTTCAAGCCGAGACAGGCTACTGACAAATAAGTTAATTTTTACAGGGATTTCAACAATTTATTTAAAGTCAGCATTATTTACAAGCTATAATCGCTATAATATTGCTCTTTTTCACAAATATAACCTATCATTGGAATCATTTTGGTCGGTATGTTTCATTCTAATTTTTAGGCAATTAATTTTGTTATTTTTATACTGAATTTGACTAGATGGGATGTTCCACCCACCTGATCAATATATATAGGGTTCACTTTCTAGACAGCAGATTTTTAAGATTTTTGTTTTATGCCCTATTCGTTGTTTTGTAGTTATTTATGGATGCCATCGATTTTGGAAAGTATTTTCAAAAAATAAAGTTGTCATGCTTGAAGATAACTGAAATCGGGCACTGATGAAATTGTACATATATACACGGGGTGATACTGTATGTTTATTTCTATTATTCTTGATAAGGGAAAAAATTGAAACCGAAATATAAATAAAGTGATATTGCATGATAAATCCCGTAAAACAACTTCCCAGCTAAAAAAAAATGTTCAAACTTTGAGGAGGGGTCAATATTCAACAGGGTCAATTCTCAACATGTTGACGTCATCAGGTGTAAGAAAAAAATTATCAAGCTGTTGAAAAATGACCCCGGGTATAAATTCAACGACTTTTGGTCTCAATATTCAACGTTGAAAAATGACCCCGGTTCAATATTCAACGTTGAAAAATGACCCTCGGGTCAATTTTCAACTCGGGTCAATATTCAACGTTACACCGGACGGGTATTAAATCTTATTTTTTGGAAATACATTGAGCTTATTCGTTATCTCTATATTTCATCAAACAACATATCGATTATAAACTGGCATTTGAAAAATGTTATAGTTTCATTTTTTTAAAAGATTGTAGGAATGAATACTACGGATCTAATTGCTCTCTTCCCTGTCCTGAAAACTGTCGTTATTGTCACAAAGAAACAGGCGTATGGGAGTGGTGTGAACCCGGATATAAGGGATATCAATGCGAAATTGGTAAGAAATCTAAGTATAATCATATTACTGGAGAGTAATAACAACTTGCTCACAAATTGTTTCTACAACATAGGATATCGGAAGTATTTTTTTTCAAAACTTCAAATAGCATTTTAAATTTCCATATTTTGTAATGACAATTGCTCACTCAGATCCATGACACAATATCAAAAATTTAAAATTGGTAGAAAACAGTATGAGCACTACTCTAATAAGTAAAATGTAAACTATTTCCCCATTTGATATTATTTTCAAGTAACAGCACAACACTGTATAAGAACAAAACCAAAACACCACGAACTCTTTTTTTCAACAAACCAAAAACAAATTGATCGCAGCAAATGCATAAATTTGCAGTACTTTATTCAGTACTTCTAAAGCAAGTTATATAATTTTCATTGTAGTTAGCACAGAGGAAGATAAAGTCTGGCAGTTAAGGTTTTATAGTACGCTTGGTGCTGTCATCGTCGCCGTAACACTTAATGCCTTTTTCATCACTATTATAATCTGTCTGAAGTTGTATGTAAACTTATCGAATATTTTTAATTTAAATGAAATGCTTAAATCATAATTATTGTAGTACAAAATTTGGAACGTAATGTATCATCAGATACTGTTTAATTTTTTTTTAAAGGAAAAGAAATGAACCAAAAGTACAACAAACCAAGACAGAATCTTGTTTTCCTGAGGCAAATCATATCTATGATAATCCTGATGGAAATATCCCTGGTGAATATCAGCAACTTGGAAAGCTGGGAGAATCCTCTCAATATGACGCTCTGAAGCAGATAGATGGAGAACAGAATTCGGAAAATGTAAAAATAAAATAAAATAAAGAAATCCGGATAGACATTAACAATACTAGGAAGGATATGATATAATATAGAAACTGCATTTGTTTTTCTTTTTGATTTTATTCCAGGCAAAACTCTTGATTTTTCTGTATTATTTATTTTTATTTCATATACATTCTATCTTGAAGGTTATTGAAAGTCTTCTGATACAGAAATAACAATAAAATCAAAATATTATAGACTGATACAATTGTCCATTGCCTATGGAAAATCGCATCCTTCTTGATGCAAGTGTTCTAGTATGTATTAAGAGGCAATCCGCCGAAAAACCAGGCAATTGTTGGCACATCGTATGTCATTAAAAATATATATACATTTGAGAGACACAATTGAATATTTTCGAATTTCAATTATTGCACTAACCGCCCGTCGTAGATTTTGAAAAATTACGCAAGGTGTAAATCGGCTTGCATGGCGGTTACGCTTTGAATGCATTAGGCTAAGGAATCTGTTTCGAAGGGAATATTTTGTGAAAGGCTACTTGTGATCAGTAATAGTGAACAGATTGTTGTCTGGGAATATTTTTATTCGTGAAAAATGATAATCGATGCTGAAAAGACACAAGAAACACGCCCGAAGTTTGATGACAAAAAGTTGGGAGGAATTTCGGTCGCTGTAAAGGGATGGATGGATCCGATAGATTGACACACTTGTCCGAGCAAGTTAATTTGCAATTTGATCAAAAACATTCTATGGTTTCAGTAACTAAAGGCATACTTATCGTAAAACACTTATAAACACGGAGACACTGGCGACAGCTTTACATTGAACTACGAAAACGCCGAGGTGTTTGGCAGCTGTTCATGGCATGATTGCGATGATATTTTTCAACAGATTTACACATTTATCGTGAGTAAAATTAAAGATAAAATAAAAGTTTATCATTAAAATTTAACCTAAGGTCTACCCCCCAAAATAAGTATGAAAGTTAGAGAACGTGCAGCTAACAAAAGTGAAGAAAAATGTAAACAAACGCTAGGCTCCTAGTTTTCTCAAAGTACACAGGTTGAATCGATAGCCCAAAATCTGTATGAAAAACTTGTTTACATTTTAAATAAAATAATTATCATTTAACTTGCTTATTTTGTTCATTTTTATACCTGAAAAGCAAGTAGAGCAGGTCATTTTATAATTTATGTACCGGTAGATATTATTGCGCCGTGTGATTAGGTCACATATTGACCTCTGACCTCTGACAAACGTCATACAGAATTGAAGATATTTTCTCTCTGTATGTTTATAAAATAGAGAGATACCACAAATGTATATATTTTGATTTGAATGCATAGATAACTAAATTCAAGTTTTAAAAAAAATAAGTATATTCATAAAGTAAACATCTCAACTTCGTTGAATTAAATGCTGCGTAAATCTAAAACATTCATTCCCCATTTTAAGAAAAAATCATTACAAACTTTTCATTGATTATTTTTACGCATATCGTAGTAAATCAGTTAAAAAAAAAAAGTTCTCAGACATGTACAATTTTACTTATCAAAAAGTCATCTAGCTGAGACGCCGCCCGTGTATATTTATATTTTGATATTAAAATATTATTTAACATTTAGAACAATGCACTATATGAAGACTTATTAAAAAGCAAAAGAGAAATCATTTTCTGAAAAATCGTTTTCTTTACACTTTAACGCAATGAAATTATAAAATTTTCTGGAAAACTTGTAACTATTTTATTGTGACGTAATATTAGTCAGGTATATGACATCACTGATACATTAATGGAAACGTGGATTCAACCTGAATAAAAGAGTCAGTTTTAATCTAAATATTACGTTTGGAGGCGAAAATGAATTATATATTGAAAATAAAATATTTATTTTTCGTTAAATAATTTTCTTTAGCGTATCAATTCTATAAAATTTAACTAGGATTCCGATAAAAAGGTGTTAAGCAAATTTACCGATGTCATGGGAGATAACTCTTGCATCGCAAAATTTCATAAAAACGTCTATATATTTTGTCAGGAAACTACTATCAAAAGTGTTTTTCCCACCGATTTTTTTTTTAAACAAAAAGATGAAATATTTCTTGATTTAGTTAAGTGTGAATTATAGTCCTTTAAAAAATGTATTGGAAATAGCAGTTCTTTGTTTCTGACCTACATTCAGTGGTTTATATAGGGGAATTCAAAAATACAAAACACTAGGATATTTTATTAAATAAGCAATTTTCAAACAAATCTTCAATTACATTATTCTTTAGGACTACATCAATATTGTTTTTAATAAAATAGAAAAAATATTCCTCACATTCGATGTGACGCCTATCAATATAATTCTGCCTGGTTTTTGGTGGACTGCCTCTTAAAAATAAAATTGCTTACAGTCAGTGCATCGACCTTAAACGTTTATTGCATATATATGACGTCAAAGGATGAGATGTTTTAATTCAAAGAGAATATAGTACCATCGAGGTCAACTCACAGTCCACAAAACACATAATCAGGTCATACATGTAGCACCAGTGGGCATCAACCTTTCTGATATTCATCTCCATATTTCCAGAAAAGTTCTGATTTGAAAATTGCTTTACTATTCAGGAAAAAAGATCTTCAAACAGGAATGGTTTAAAGAGATTTTTTGTTAGGAAAGTTACATGTAGTAGCTCTGCCCGTTCAACGGGGTCCCATGGTGCCTTTTTTATTTCTAAATACATTATATTTACATTCAGTGTGATTTTCTTTATGAAATCCATTTAAAAATCCATGACGTTCAAAATTCTATAACACGCGATACCTTTGTCTTCGCGCTTTTGACTACACAGTAGGAACTATATGCATTTTCAATACATTATATATAATTATGGGCACCAAAATGTACATTGTTTGACACAATTTAATAAAAAAATTACCCTGTTGAATTAACGTAAAAATACAACAGTTGTGCAATAAAATTAATCTGTCACTTTTTTCCTCGCAATGTCCGTTAGCGTTATTAACTTTACGACGTCACAAACGTCACAAAGGGTACTTTCGTTTCTAAAGTACACAAGTTTTGAAGGGCGCTTAATTCACAGTAAAGATAACCAAAATAAACAATTATGAAGAGCAAAAATTAAAGAATGTAGATATAAGTATTGAATTTAAATTTTGAGATGTCCTCGGTTCTATAACACTCCTGGCCGTGCCGACAAATTATCATACTGTGCTAATTGAATTCAATGCTTAAGTAAAAAGCTTGCATCCTCATTCGTTATTTTCACTTCTTACCATATACTGCAAATCCCTTAAACATGATACAACGAATGAGCTTTAACTATAATGGTATGTTATGTAAATTCTCACCATGTTATTCAAGTAAATCTGCCTAGTATATCAAGTATCTACATTAAACAACAACTCCCAAAAATAATATAGCAAATGGGTCGAATCAAACTGGACAGCAAACCCAACAATATACCAACAGCACCAGGAGATGATGTGTTTCTTAAAGAGTTACAGGGTTACATTAATTTCTCACAATTTTAATGACGGTTTTAAACTTGGTTGCACTGAGCATCTTAATCTTTGTTAGGAACATATATCTATCTGATTAAAAAATCTGATGATAAATGTATATAGCCAATAAAATGATGACTAACGTATTTGGGCTCATTTGTATTTCAAGTCTAAATACATTTGATAATCTAGTCATCATTGCCTTGGACTTATGGCTAAGGAGCTACCTGTAGAATTTAGAACAGTTAGGCATTGATGACAACATGGCTGAAAACTACTAGGCATTACTTACAACATGGCTCAACTTGGCTTAGAACTATTCGTCATTACGTGCAAGATGGCTCAGAATAATAAGGCATTAATTACAACATGGCTGAAAATTACTAGACATAAATTAAGTCCTGTTTACATAGTTTCATTATGGTTAAGTGACAGCAAATTACATGTATGGGACCGATTGGAAATAAAATTAAATAATAATTTAAATTGATTATTTTAGTCAAATGGATGAATTGTGGGACGACGCTCCAACTCAGGCAATAGTTTTCATCCCAAGAAAGCTTAAGCTTCATCTACCATAAAAAAAACACAGTCAATAATTGTCATGTTACATAAAAAAATCATATTTTTTTTCTATGAATTAATTATCTGTACCCAGTATGTTGACCTTGTGTTTGTAAGTCTTGACTAGATTTTAATGGTATATATATATATTTTGTTATCAATCCTTTTATCAGAATCCGAATCCAAGTCAGTAAAAATGTGGGTAAGTTTTCTTTTTGAGTCAATAGTGAAAATTTGATAACAGTCATTATTCTTCTGGGAACTTTTATCAATTGGGATGACTGGTTGTTTTTTTGTATAGAGAATATACCTACAATTCTTAATTGAATAAAACCAAAAATGATAATTATTATGGTTTTAAAGGAAAAGGAAGAAAAGAATGACTGAACCTGCATCTGAAGAAAAGTTTAATAATGAGAAAAGACAACCAAGTGACATTGGAGAAACCAAGGAACTTGGAGAGCTGGAGAACCCCTCTCATTATGAAGTTCCTCAATAACTGGAACTGGAATATAAGAATTTAGAGACGAAGAAATAGAGATATTTTTCATATTAATTATACTTTTGCAGCATTTTTGTATGAAAATGATTATATAGACATTTCCAAAAGTCAGAAGAATCCCTTTTTGGCATTTGTTTTTCGAAGATTATTAAAAAGATATTAAAACATAATAATTTTGTAGTCCAATAATGAAATATTTGGAGGGTTTTTTTTTCTCCTTGATTTTATAGCACCGAAAGTTTTTTTTTTCAAATCTGTCATAATTTTTAAATTAAATAAAGAATTTATGATTATGAAATATACAACAACGTCAACCTCTAGGTTGATAACTCAAAATTAACAGTGGAAATGTTTATTTTATTTATTTTTTTTTATACAAATGATAATGTATATTTTTTCATATTTGTTGATACTTGATGATTGTACCTTGGAACTTTGATTAACTAAGGTGAAAACTTTGGAACTTTGATTTGTTATAGTAAAAACTTTGGAACTTTGATTTACTATAGTAAAAACTTTGGAACTTTGATTTACTATGGTAAAACTTTGGAACTTTGATTTACTACAGTAAAAACTTTGGAACTTTGGTATACTTTAGTGAAAACTTTGGAACTTTGATTAAGTACTATAAAATCCTTGGAATAATGTTTTGGCTTCCCATTTAGTACATTTTATGAAATTTCAAGAATAAGGTTCATTAAAGTTTCAGAGAACGTTTTAAAAACCAAACCTGTCGCCTTACAGAACAAAGTACAATAAATAAATTTTAATGTAAAAATTGTCTCTTGCACCGATAAATAAGCAATATTTATCATTATTTATGGGAAAAAAATTAATATAAAATAAAAAAATCCGTCATTTAGAATAAAAATATTTTTTTTCCTCAACTTCAGATAACTTTTTTTCTGCTGTCAAATGTAAATATTACATTTTAAATAATTACTTTGCATATCTAAATTAAGATGAACAACAAAACCAGCCTAAACAAACCAATATTACCCCCCTTAAAACAGACTAATTACAAAAAAAAGAACTAAATACTTTGATTTACTATAGTAAAAACTTTGGAACTTTGATTTACTATAGTAATAACTTTGGAACTGTGATTTACTATGGCGAAAACTTTGGAACTTTGATTTACATAGTAAAAACTTTGGAACTTTCATTTACTGTAGTAAAAACTTTGGAACTTTGATTTACTATGGTGAAAACTTTGGAATTATAATTTACTATAGTAAACTATGGTTAACTATTGTATTTTTTGTTAGGGTTTAATTGATGTTATAAAGGTGATGTATGAGGGTTGTCCGGAAAAATCCTGGACCAAGCGTTTTTCTCAAAAATTAATCTGCGCATTAAGCTAAAATTATCAGTAAATCTTTTTTTATTATTATTATTTTAATTGCATCATATTTGTTTTTCATTCGTTTGATTTACACATGAACACATATATATTCATTAAAAAATTTGTGTATTTTTTTTCAACATAAAGTATGAGATCTTAGTTAGGAACAAAAGTCAAAAAGTAAAAAAAAAAAAAAGCTGGTCTAATTTCAAAATAGCACAAGTTTGTCTATGAACATATCTACAGACTAAATATTTCTAAAACCAACTTTCTTTTTTTTTTCAATATCTTTTACATATTTTTTGCAAGGAGTCTACAAAATAGCATGTATCTGGATGCATTAATATTATAGAGAGTCCTTTCATCATGCTACAATATGTAAATATATGTAAATACATAATTTGGTTGACAATTAAGAAATACAATCTTAAGATATTTTTTTTTCTGTTTTCAAAAGTGATTTGAAATGTATTTTTTTTTTTTTTTTGCATATTTAATGAAAAGTATAGTGCTATTTAGAACGCACATAGGCTAATCTTAAAAGTAAATTAGCATGTATCTGGATGCATCATAGAGATTCTTAAAAATACAATCTTGAGATTTTTTTTTTTAAAGTGATTTGGAATGCTCTTTTTTGCATAGTTACATGCAATTGAAAGTATAGTGATATCTTGAACGCACATAAGTTAATCTTAAAAGTAAAATTTAAATTGTTTTTCAAGAGTTCATGTAAAGCGTTTCCGGCTACGGTCAAGCTTGGGTCAACAATCATGCAAAAATAAATGAAAGGTCAAATTGCGCACTAAAACTTCCTCGTGGATTTCTGACTTTTTCCTATATTTGTTCATTGACAACCCCTATTACTTATAACTGATAGGCTATTATTTTGGTTTCAATGGAAATACATGTACATTATTTTACATTGACAATTGCTTATACATATGGCTATGGTAAGTATGATATATTCCCTATCTAACGTCTTCTTTTTATTTAATAAGTAATTATATATAAATTAAATGAATTTAAAGCTAGTTGTACATAATGTTTATTGAAATTGCAAACTTGAAGTGCATCTCTCTTATACCGAAGCTGGTTTACTTGTCCTGAATAATTTTTTTTTATTTTATCTATCTCCCATCTTCTTTAAAAAAAAAACATTTGGACTTAAGGACATATGATACAAACTTTTGTTAAAAAATTGGAAAAAACGACTTGAGTCATGCCTTAATGAATACGATGAACAAGTTTCAACGCGTGTGTTTAAAATTTTTAGTCAAATTTTCACAAAAATAAAATTCGAAGTAATAAAAATTTTTGTATAGATTAATAGATTAATAAGGATGGTTTCAGAGAAACAGACTTTTGAACATCATAGAAGTTTTACAATTTCTTCACATTCTAGAAATATAATATTTGCATCATTTTCAATGAAATTATATAAGAAGAATATATACTAATCCAGGCATTCATTTTTTTGCTTGTATCATTTGTCCTTAAGTCCGTGTTTTTCATTAGTATAATGAATCAATACAAAGTAGTAGTCATTCAGATTCATACAAGGCGTTTTAATTTCAATTCCGGAAGTCGGCACTTTGTAAGCAACGGGAATTGTGCGGTCATTTTAGCTTAATCTAATGGAGATTTTATTTAAAATGCTCAGGTCATAATTTGCAAATTAAACTATCGACATTTTTTCTAACTGAAAAGGGTACTGAAATGCCGAAGATGTTCATTTTAGTGCTCAGCCAATTATTGACGTAATAGAGGAGAGGATGTTAGAGGAGTAAGACCTTTTTCCTTTTACTAACATGTTGATTTCAGTGTTTGATATTTGACGGATTGACATATCGTATGAGCGGGAGAATATGAACACGCTAGTGGAGTTACTGGATATAATTGGGATAGAGGATGAAGTGACTTGCGACCCCCGGTAAATTGACAAAAAAATGAAATGTCTAACTTTTACTCAAATTTTTGTATGTAACTAATCACTGACCTGTGTACCTTTACAGAATGCTATTTTTAACAAAAATAGAAACATGATTTGAAAGATATAGATCTTTTATTGGGGTAGGGGAATCATGTTTACATCCAATTCCCATAGCATTTTAACCCCTCCCCACTCTTTGAAGCCCATAAAATATGCAAGCGCAGGGAGGTACAATTTTCTCCTTTGGCTGGTCACTGTATTTTATTGAAATCTACCTACATGTGAAAGGAGAAAATTGTACCTAACTGCGCTTACATGCTATCTAAACAAAAGTTTTGTTCCGTGTTTGATGAGCAATTTGCTAGGTCCCTAGTATCAGTGAATACAAGTTTCATGTGCATTTCGTGTCCTTAAATTCGTAAATGCTGAAAATCCATGCGTATTATTAAGTATAAACAGCCTTGGTTGACCATTATAAAAGTTTGAAATGTAGAAAAGGATAATAGGTAAATCGACCTAAACTACGTGTCTGTGATAAAATGTGAACGTAGAAAACCAGCATGTTTTGTTATTCTGTCATCGGATTGGACAATGACTAAGTGCGAAATAATAACAATAGCCATATAAGGTCTTCTCGGACACGCATATCCCTCTATTGTACTAAGACCCGCCCATTCTCATGTCATGAAAGAACACAAACCTGGCCGAATTTAGCTGTGATAGGGTCTAAAAATCAAAGATAATGCAGTATTCCTTACACTTAAAATGTGTCTGAACTATTGAAACTATTCAAAAGGCGTCGTATTTATTCACTCACGTTTGAAAACTACAAACTTCGTTGTAGATTAAATAAAATTCGTCGTGGAAAAAGGGGCCCCAGATAGCAGTTATGTCACATCATCCTTTGTATGATTTTTAACGGAAAACTACTGCATAGGCAAATTTTAGCAAAAGCATTCAATAAAGTATACATATATAAATGTCTGGTGAATTTTTTGTCAGAAGGACGTCTGCTTATAAACCAAGGGGTAGAGCTAAGATTTTCAAAGAAAGAGGTAAAAAAAATCTCCTTGTTCGAATATGATGTTAACCTTTAAAGAAACTTATGAAACAGTGTCTGGTTAAAGTATTCAATCAAATTTACCATGTTATCACGATTATGCACTTTTGTGTTTCGCGATATTAAATTGTGAATATTATATTTGAAACGTGTTGAATGTTATGGGATAATTCCGTTTTAACACTTTCTTCCAAGAGATGTTCGTCATCACTTGTTTTTCATGTTTTCATGTTCCTCGTTTGTTAAAAAAACACTTTTTAATGGAATATTTTTGTCATTTTTAGTGAACGTAGCTTTGAACAAACAGACATGGCAGTCAAATCCTTACGTAATATCGGACAGTAGATATGATTCTAGTAATGCAGTAGATGGACGGAAATCAGATCTCAGTGCATTTGGAAGACAGTGTGTCATATCAGCTGATAATAAAACAACTGCCACCTGGTGGGTTAACTTGACATCAATTTACAGTATTCATCACATAAGGATTTATTACCGGACTGAAAATAATGTAAAAACATGGAGTGAGTTCTTTTTTCGACACGCATTTGAGGCAATTTGTAAACTGTAGCTTTTGATTTTTGCAACGTCATTGAAAACGTATTTTACATGAAGTTTTATTACCATAAACGATTTAAAGGTATTTCCACCTTTATTTCCTTTCGCGATGTGAAAATATCTATTCCAATGAATGGTTCCCATGGTAAACGGCTCTATTTTGCTATCCTCTCCTAAAATGATACATTTTCATTCAATTTTATTATCAAATTCTATCTTAAGGTTGCTTTAGAAAAACCGTTCCCAAAAGAGCAAAACAAACTCTATAAAGTATACCATCTTTAATGTATAACAGAGTTTTCCAATCTATATTTGAGGAAATTCGGGATTAGGGGACATTTTCATTTTGATATTTCCTGAGTTTACTAAAATACGCATGTTGGAAATCCATATAAAATGACAAACCATAGTATTGACATTTTGAATAAACAAGAAGTTTAAAAAACCTTTCTGCGAATTATAAGACAAATACAATTGAAATAGAGGGTTAAATGTTTTTTCTGCATTTTAAAAAGAAGCGCTTAATTTGATTGTAATGAGTTTTTTGGATTCTGTGTTAGTCCGCAAGAAAACGAAAAACTGTAGAATCTATTTAACAAAAATAAATTTATTTTACAGATGAAACAAATGAATAAACAAAAATAAACACAAAAATCTTACATACACCACACTCGCAAACACTCACACAGAGAAATAAAAAAAAATATAACTTTACAGAGAATAAACTGGCACGCCTACGAACAATGAACTTAAAGCTGCGTGTCAGAAATTAATATCAAACAAGAGTTGTTAAATGAAAACAGTAACTTTGTTTTAAAAAAATTTTAACTTCAAGTTGCTGTAAAAAATTTTAAAATAAAGTTTATATTTTCAAAAACTCTTTACTTAATGTAACTTTAGAAGTGTTTTCTGAATAAACCAAATTGGGAGTTTGTCTGACAAATGTTCCGATTTCAACACTAATATCGTCACCACTGGGCCTCCGTACACCGCTGGGTCGACACCACGTTCACTGATCGTCTAATCCGCCGGACTCACAGGTTTTCCTCTTATAGTGTCTCTAAATACATCTATCCCTCCGTTAGACGGGAGCTATTGTGTTCCCACAAGTCTGTGAGGACGTAGTACACGTATATCCTGTACCGCCGCCGCCCCTCCGTATGGTCCGGTCCTAGACACAAACTGACCACTCGACCACTCACATCTGCCGTCCTAAGCCCCTAGTATACTCTATGCTTCTGCGCAAAAATAAATTTAACGACTTTTCCAGAATACAGACTATCAGAAACAGAATATATCCACTTACCTAATACGAACAGGTATACAGACAAAAAGTACAAAGTCCTATAAATAGTAACGAAAACAAGCTTACCGGCTGGAGAAAACAGAAATGACCACACACAGAAATTCACCGTTTCCTGGCTACCGGTTCCAGACTTATTTCTAGAATTCACCAATTATAAGAACGTCCATGGTGACCAAAACTGTGGCGTGGCACAACGCCTCATTCACTACCACGCGTCATTTCCTTCTGACCAACCAGTTTTCTAAATTTAGCTTTTGTACACACCCTCAAAAGTACTGAAACTCATAACCACCAAAACTCACAAAAAAAAAAACACAAAATCAAACATAATATTAACTAAACAAAAGTCAACTTCATGACATTGATAATATTGGATTTCTATCAACTTCAAACACTTCAGACGAGATTTAAATCCTAATTATTCTAATAATATAAGAATGCTTAAAATAAATTATATAGTAGTATGAAAGTGTTCCTATTTTTGTGCTTTAAGAGAATATGGGGGTTAAAAATGCTATATTTCACGAAATGATCATATTTTTGTTAGTTCTGGTTTCCATGGCAACGGACACCCCAAAACTTGGTTTTCTCAGTTAGACACCTGGGTACGCTCTATATACAAAAACATTACGTATTTCGGGACATTCGTTTGAACGGCGCCCTTGGATTTTTATAGAGAAGGACTTTTATATATGTAAGGGATCTCTGAAAACGTTTTCTAGTGATAAGGCAGTTTTATTACTAATAACCCATTTATTTTTTAGGGAGAAATCACAAGATGTCAGACCACCTTTAAGCAATCGCTTAATGTTAGCTTAATTGTGACTTAATGGTGGCTTAAAGAAGTTAATTCCTTTAAGCCACCATTAAGCTGCAACTTACAGGTGCTTAATGTTCAAACTTCATTAAGCTACCATTAAGCCACCATTAAGCTGAGCTTAATTGTGACTAAATGGTCAAACCTCATTAAACTTTTACCCACCTTATATAGAATCTTTGAACTAACTTTTTAAGTTATTTTAATATCAATTACGTGAAATCTATTCTAACTCATAATTTTGTCTCGATCTTAATTTCTACAAGTTTTTTTTAAAACTGCATAAACTCGATCACTGAGAACAAAGTTAGCTTATATCCACAAGGGGCTTGCTCCCGGTGTCTAATAATCATTTTTTTTTAAATCATTTAGTTTACAATAATAATAAAAGAAGACATCGTTTATCAGTACCGTATATTATTTTTTCAAATAAATAATTATTACATGCGTTGTTTTTATTACTTTTTGTCAACATGCATAGACTGTTTCACTGAGTACAAAGTTAGCTAATAGCCATCGGTGTCTAATATTTTTTTTAAATCATTTATAGTAATAATAAAACAAGGCATCCTTTATCAGTACCGTTTATTATTTTTAAAAATAAATTATTATTACATGCGTTGTTTTTATCATTGGTGTATATGATTTTTTAAGATAAATTATTATTACACGCCGGGAGCAAGGCCCTTTGAAACATAATAAATTTTCTTTAGCGAAAATCAATTTGTTCTTAAAATTATCTTTATCCATGAACACAAAATATATATATTACTTTTTTTAATGGTATTTTTATTTCATGCGTTAAAGCAACATTCCGCTATAGAATTCTCAGGAATATAATATGTTCTCATGAAAAGAAAAATCTCTTTTTTTTTTGGGGGGGGGGGGCTACTGGTTTACAAATGCTTAGTTTTCAAAGATTGTCTTTTACATTTTGAAGAATTTGAATTAATTCGTTATTTCTTTTTATAATGCAGCGGTAAGTATCTGTCAAAATCTAGGTCTTCAATGATTGTTATTTCAAAATAGATTTTCAGAAGAACAGCTGATCAGACTAAACATGACATCCGACCAGATTTATACACATTGAGAAAAGGGGTAAGATTAACAGATTGACAGTGAAAGTACACAGACTGGTCAGACAATAGACCTTAATTAGGTGTCCATCATTCCTCGGTTAAGTAACAGGAAACTATGCATACACATTGTGAACTGACAGATTTTGATGATCAATTATTTTTACAAAATTTTATAAATTTAACGCAAGCATATAACAAATTAAAAATAATGATTCATCGTAAAAGGACAATTATTTTGATACCCATTATGATACAAAAAGAATTGAAACTGAATATGATATCCTAAAAAAAGTTTTTGTTCAAGTAATTAACCAGGTTACTTTTACGCGAGGATTGTCACTAAACTGTAGACACAAAAGCAGTTAATATCCGCAGTATATTTAAAAAAATATAGTAGAATCATTCTGTTTTTTCGTCTTCCTTTTTCCATGATAGATTTTTTGTGTTTTATCTATAGTTAATTTATTTTCAATTATGATTTAATTAAGTCATAATTTGCTTACATGTATAAATTTTTGGAATGACAGAGCGAAGAATTCAGTCACATTACATCAATCTAAAAGCCGAACTCAATGGTTAAGAAATATTAATGTGATATGTCTTTTAAAAAGATCCATAAATAAAATTGTTTATATTTTGATTAATAAATCAATTCAAGACATTGAAACGTTCAACAAAATAAATACTTTTTTAAAGTCCAAACAAATTCCGTAAAAAATAAAAGTTTAATAGTTTTATTTAAACTAAAGAGCAGTGATAGCCTAATGGATAAGGTACCTGTAAGTCCCCCTTAATGGTAGCTTAATGGTGACTTAATGGTGGTCTAAAAGTTACCATTAGGGACCTTTAAGCCATCATTTATCTACATTTAAGCACCCATTCAGGACTTTAAGGTGGCTAAATGGTAACTTAATGGTGGTGTTAATGTTACTTAGAGGTGCTTAATGGTGACTTAAAGACAACCATTAAACCATCATTAAGGACCTATAAGCCACCATTAAACCGGACTTAAGGGATGTATTTCATCTTGTGAATACATTCTAGATTGCTTTATAGATAAAAAAAAAAATATCCGTTGTTAAAGATTTGTCTGCTGATTTCTGAAAATTGTAAGAAACCTAAATCAAACTTATATGCATTGTACTCATACTAGGGACCCTTATCATTATTCCTTAAAGAGTCCCAGTCTCCAAAGAACCAAGTGCACATGTACACATGTGTGTTATATTTACAATATTATTTACAATATAAAAACGCTTACATTATAATCTTTAAAAAAATACTTGGCCTCCTCCTAGGCTGAACGAACATGTTGTCATCTCTTGTTTCATCATTTAGCCAATAATATAAATAAACGAATAAATTGATTAATAGAAATCAATTAATGAATGAATTATTTTTTTTAAAGTAAAGAAATGTAAACTTCTACGCTAATTTTCAGTATAGAGAAATCATAAATTTTTGAACCAAAAAAAAAAAAGAAAATTTAATCATGCATATGTCTCAGAACAATACCAATTAGATTTTTTAAAGAGTGATTGTTTTTCCTCTACCGACCGACTAACACATTTTTTAACGGCCCGAGTCCTTGTTTAGAACAGGAAACAATGTTTATTATATTCAAACCAATTATCCCCAACAATTAACAGTTCTATTTAAATGGATTTAGATAAAAGAAATTTTCTACGACTACATGTACCTATCCCAATTTTTTTTGGTCGGAAAATTGTTTTCAAAAGATAACCTAACGAGTGAAATCGACATGCAAAAGGAAAATTCCTTTTCTTTTGTTTGTCTTTGTCATAGATTCTTGGAAAGTCATATGGATTGTGCTTACACTTCCAGACAGTTTAGTCCACTGGAAAAAATTGAGCTGTAGCTGACATTTTTGTTCTTTGATTTTTAAAAACAGACGATTAAAAAAACAATCCATGCAAACTTTTATTTTACGTTAACATTCACAATGTCTGTAAGAAATACAAACTGTTGTGGCCAAGTTCTACTGTGCCTAATAGGGTTTCGAGGTTTATTACTAAAGGGTTTTCAACTCAAAAGTTTTTTCTCTGTTTTAATCTTTGAATATGGATTCCTGGTTTATTCATCAAGAGAAGAACGTAAATGGCCCTATAGAAGGCAAGAGATGAGTTAGTTCTTCACCTAGTGCAAAGACTTTTACACATTTCAAATTCTTATCTATTGATATTGTCGGTGCTATAACAGTGCCAGGCCGTGCCAACAATTTGAATACTGTAAACAGGGGAATTTTCGCCCCGTTTACATTCGCCCCTTTCGCCCTACCCTAATTTAGGCGATTTTAATACGGGGCGAATTCAATGAATACAATATAAATTGTTAAACAAAACTTTGAGTGGGTGAATTTAAAGCGTGGAGAAATTATTTTGCAACTGTGAAATGGCGAAAATAACATGGGGCGGACATAACCCTGTATACCGCGGGTATTTTACATATACATGTAAGTAAGCATATAAGTCATTATTGGGGATATTTAGACTATTTAAAGAAAATTAAGATTGTTAATTTACCAAAACCGCTGATAAAAGTAAATTATTATTATTTATTGCATAAAGATAGAAAACTGTCAACGCAACGAAGTACACCACCACCACGGCATCACGTGACTTCTATGAATAGCCAAATTCACCTTAATAAAAAAGCTAACCGAACAACAATACCCCGGTGATTAATAATTTTTTTGAGTAAATAATGTTGTTGAAAAACATCTATTTTGCCTTAAAAGTGCCGCTAGAATCCCACTGTCCCGTCAGTTAAATAATCATTCCACACATTCGCACGCGTACGAAATATTACCCAATAAATGTATTATGAATTATTTACACATGAACCGAGATTTTACGTAAAACCATGCTTAACTCGGAATTCTAGCAGCACTTTCCAAGTATATTAGGAGGCAAACTTTCAATCTGTACAAATCTTATGTTTTTAAATATACAGCTTATTGTTGTTCTGTTGCATTATTTTTTTTCAAAAATCACAGAGGAAAGGCCAACCGGGAAACATATATAGCTGACTGTCTTCGACTGAGAATATTTTCAATGAAATAAATAAGCATACGTGTTTAATTTACTAAACTCCATATGAATTTTACAAAATATTCACGATATTTGCTTGTAAACCCCCTTTTACGCATCTTTGTACATACCATGTAAACCAAATTCTCTTTACACGACATGATCAATTCCAAAGTTACTTGATGTACACATAGGACGTCATCGGTGGTAGATTTTAACCAAAATGACAAAATACAGTATAACAAAATAAGAGTATTTTATTGTTGTTAAAGTTTACACGTTTCTATTCATTTTCCAGAGTTAAATCACGTCTCTAAATAAATGACGTCTCCAGAACTGACGTCATCTCGCCTACTTTGACGTTATAATGTAGCACTGATTTAGTCAAGGTTGAATATTTTGTATGCTTCCTTACCCCCTACCCCACCCCCTGCGACAGTACCGCGCTATATCGCAGTATGATAACAAGTCAAACACGTTTTAGGACTAATATTGTAGACATCAATAAATAAAAGGCCAGTGCTTATATTCACAATCTCTAACTTTTTCTCTTTAAAATTGTATTTTTTTTATTCTTCTTCTGAATTCAGAGCCTGTTGTGCTTAAATGACGTATACGTACATGTAAGTGCCGTTTGTGACGTTGAATGTTACATGCAAGGCGAGGGTGCCGTACAAATGTTATTTTTATAACGATAAATCAACGGAGCCATTGATTTTAATAGAATTGAGTCAACGTCATAACAATTCACGTTATAGTGTTCCAAAACTATGGAAAATGCATATAATTCCTAAAATTTCTACAATGTACCCCCCCCCCCCTGTGACAAGGTTTGATGTGTTTTATAGGATATTAATTCATGCTATTACTTTTTGACTAAGGCATGACAATTCCACTTTTTCTTCATGGTAAATCGACGAAATTCCTAATCTTGAAAGAAACTAAAAAATTAAAACATAGAAAAAAGCACAGTTCGTAGGGCTTTCAAACAGCCTAGTGCAATTAATTGGAAGGTAACACATTCTTACAACCCGTACGCAATGTATTTGAGCCAAAAGAATTCATTAGCAAAGCATTTTTACAAATACGTATATTTTCCAAATGCAAAAAATCACCGCTTCGGAGTTGAAAACCCGTATACAAATTAACAGACCAACATGTTTTCCTTTACATTGTGTTTCTGACAACCTTCATGCGAATTTTTTCCCCTTGCATTTAATCGATATGCTTTTCATACTTCATATAAAATATATTTTTTTTTAAATCATGTTAAAATTGAACAAAGTTTTTATATAAAATCCATGTGTCACGTTTTTCGTTTTTTTTTTTATTCTTTTTCAAAGAAATCACATGAAATTTGTATGCATTTAATCTAAAATTTATCTGAGCCACTTTGGCTTGTATATATATATTTCACTGATGAATGTATCATCATTATTTAGTAAACTTTTTAAAATATTCTTATTATTAATCTTTAGGCATTTAAAATATAACAAAAAGTTTGTTTAATATAAATATCGCATGATTGAAATGTGTTTTTCAATTCCAGATGAAGGAAATGACTTAACTGCAAGATTTCTCGGGTTTTATGTTTATATATCGAACACAACGAACCGACTTGATGGTCATTTATGCTTCCACGATACTTACTATACCAGATTAACGATTCCTGCCATTGCCAGTATTACCTGTGCCTTACATGCACAATACGTTATCTATTATAATGAACGATTAGAAAATATTAAATATCCACTTGGATATTCAAGATTCGCTCATAATGAACTATGCGAAGTAGAAGTCTACGGTATGAAATCTATTATTTTTTTGTTTTTGTTGTTTTTCTTTTGCATGTTATCAGCCCATTTTTATTTAACTACATAAGCTGTGTTGTATTGCCAAATTTGTACTTTTATTTGCTATTTTAAGGTTGTATGACTGGATACTATGGACCTAACTGTTCTCTTCCCTGTCCTGACAATTGTGGTGACGGTTATTGTCACATAGAGACTGGAGTGTGTTTCTCGTGTAAACCTGGGTATCAAGGATATCAATGTGAAAATGGTATTATTGATGTCCACCAGATTTTTGCAACAGCCTCATTTCGCGAGTTAATTATTTATTTACAGAGTTATCTATAATGAATTTTAAAAAAAAACATCTCTGTTGAAATGAAAAATGTAATTTGTATTCAATAGAGTGTACCAGTAACACATATGGACAGGATTGTGGACTGAGATGTGGAGCTTGTCTGGGACACAAACAATGTAATCACATCAATGGTTCATGTCCTGAAGGATGTGACGCTGGGTTTAAAGGGACATTTTGTTATATTGGTAAATAGAGTTATAAATGATGTCTTACATATTAAACAAACATTTCAATCTTGTGCGAAAAAAATCAATTGTATTTTGTCAACTTTTGAAAAATACATTTATTCTTCATGTCATTTAGAATGTCCTGCTGGATATTTTGGATATTACTGTGAACATAATTGTAATGACAACTGTGGAGTACCAAACAAATGTAACAAGACGACAGGTGAATGTGAAGGTGGATGTCAGGCAGGTTGGAAGGGACTTCAGTGTAGTGAACGTAAGAACCGAGACTTTTCATTACATTAGTTAGTTCAAAGGATGTTAAACCATGTTTAATGTTATTGGTTAACAGCTCGACATATCGCTATTTTAGCAAAGCAATATATGGAGATAACGAAAAATGTCTATACTCATACATGTAAGTCCAATAAACACCACAGATGTTGGAGCAAAGCAAATAGAACCTAAAAAATTATCAGAGGTTGGACCAGATACCATGGAAAGTGATCATCCCTTACCGAACGGTCTTAGCTCTATATGTAACCTCAACTTCCAAATAAGTAATTTCAAAGACTGATTCTTGTTCGTATACATTTCTATTTCCTGTTACACATGCTAAACATCTTAGTATTTATACATGTAAATATTTTCACTGATAATCACATATTGCATGTTATTCAAAGTTTGATTTTACATTTTTTGGTACCTGATATAACTTTGTTCGTTTAATTATGTATAATCTTTGGAAAATCATTACAAGGAGGCGTATTAATATGACTTTGCTTTACAATTAAAGAGTGTGATGGTAACAAATATGGACAGGATTGCGGACAGACCTGTGGAGCGTGTCTGGAATATAAACAATGTCACCACGTCAATGGTTCTTGTCTTGAAGGTTGCGATCCTGGATTTCAAGGAAAACTTTGTACAACAAGTAACTCTATGGATTTCTGCATTAAGAAAATCGGTTACGCAGCACAGTTAAGGTTAAAGAAAGGAGGCGGGCCTAATTTGTAAGGGAAATGTTTACTATGACGTCACACATAATATAAGGTCTTCAAAATACCACAAAATGAAATTATTTGCTACTTGAACAGCTGGATACCTGTATACTACATACAAACTTACTATTACATGCAGTTTTGTCGTTTGTTAAATCCCACTCAACAGTATATAAACGATCATCGATTGCAATGCAGATTCATTAAAAAAAGTAATGAAAGGGCCCTAATAAAACGATTTATTGCAAGGGCACACCCTCAATGTATTTTGTCAAGTTCTTATACATAAACTCAAGAAGATTAAGATATTTGAAAAGTGCTGCGAACCTCAGGAAATCTTGCAAATAAATTAATTATAGCTATACTTAATGTAGCTGACCAGCAAAATATTCAACCTGCCGTCCAACAAATTAAATTTGAGCACTTAAAAAGGGAATCTATAAAGGTTCGAAACACTTTTTACAAACTACATATAGTGTTAAAAAGGATTAAAAATTAAACTAAGATTTTTATCTTGGTTATGCCATTGCAACATCTGAATTTATATATGACCTCTAAGCTGCAAGTATAATTGCTAAAATCATGTGACGTCGACATCACGTGACAAGACTAAATAAAAAATCTAAATGTCCCTAACATGTGGATTTAAACCACATTACATTTTTTTATATCAGTGAAGTCCTAAAAAGAATCGCCCATCTTAATAAAGTATTTTTTATCTTACAAATCGTCGATATTTCCATTTGTAACCTTAACTGTGCTGCGTAGCTACAGAAACGAAACTCTCTAGTTGAGAAAATTTGGACAGAAAAACAAGAGAGCACAGATCCAAGTATTCCTGTACACGACTTAAATAAACAGTTTTATCATACCAATTACCCATACATTGTAATAGTAAATGATTTATCTTTGAACTGTTTCAAACAACACTCGTACTGCTAATTTTAATATATGCATTCTGACCAATGCTAATTTTAATATATGCATTCTGACCTTAATATTGGTATCACGCTAAAGCAGCACGCCCACGTATTATTGATACATTTTTTTTATTTCATACATATTTTCTTTTTGTAAGATGTGCCGCAGTGGTTAAAGCGTCTGCTCTAGAGTCGCGAAGTAAGGAGTAAATACTTACGTCGCGGGCTCGAATCCCACTGAGGGGCGTGAAGGCCGGTTATTCGGATGAGACCGTATAAACCGAGGCCCCGTGTCGCAGTAGGTGCTGGCACGAAAAAGATCCCTCACTGCTCAAAGGCCCAGAGTGCCGAGCATAGGACATAATTTGTAGCCCTCCACCGGCAAGTGGTGACGTCTCCATATGAGTGAAAAATTCTCGAGAGGGACGTTAAACAACATGCAATCAATCAGTCTTTTTTCTAAGATCAAATTGGTGACATTTGAATTCTTTTATTTCATTATCTCTGTATGTGTTTGATATTTGACATACTCACATTTTTTTGAGAAGGGGGGGGGGGAGGAGAGGGGATCTACTTACGTTGAAAAGAGATTGTTTTTCTGACATCCACAGACCGTACGGGGTAAAAGGTTGGTTTGAAATTTTGAGAGGTTGATAAAAAACATATATGAGAGTGAATTATATGCTTTTCAAGAGCTCCAATGATTTACCATGGAGTTGTTTATGAAGACTGAAAAAATGTTTGAAGATAGCGTTCATAGATTGCAGAATTGAATCAACTGTTTATTTTTATCCGAATTGGATCTGCAGTTCTTTTGTACATTTGACCGATTTTACAAAATGACAGATCTATAGTTCTGCAGGTATAAAACCCGTATGATGTAAATATTCCATATAACTTCTAAGGTTGTTCGAATGGAAAATTTGGAAAAGACTGTAGTAAAAATTGCAGTGTCAATTGTATGGTACCCAGAATATGCCACGGTACAACTGGAGAATGTCAGAGTGGATGTCAGCCTGGTTGGGAAGGATATCATTGCGAAAGGGGTATATAGAGTTTGAATGTTTACATAATTTTATTTCCTTACTTAAATACTTTCTAACGCTCATTGCAAAATACCTAAATATTGTGTTTACATGTATTTTATTTCAAGCGTTCACTACAATGGATTAAATTTTTTTTTGTCAAATGACGTTATAAATCAAGAAACTCCTAAATAATGATATTTCTATACATAATGGACAACATACACAAAGGATTAAGTGAATTAGCAAAAAAAAAAAAAAAGATCTGACAACCTTTTTTAATTTTTTTACAGAAACATTGCAACCTTTAAAGCATGTAAAACACATCATGACAATTAAATACATTAATATAAAACATAAGATAAATTCATCTAAAATAAAAAAAAAGAAAAAAAGAAAGAGAACAAAACAAAAGCTTGCTTGAATCAGTACCTATTGAATAAGATTTATGAATTGACATTGTAGATCAAGTACAGGATAAAGAAAACTGCCACCTAAGCTTTTATGGCACCCTTGGCGCATTTTTGGTGTCTGCTTTAGCTAATGTTGTCTTAATTGCTTTTGTCTTCAAGTTGATGCAGAGGTATGTGCAGTTATTGATATAGACTGCTGAATTAAATTGTTTGTTTTCCATTGCACTTGTGCAATTCAACAAATTTAAAGATGAAGACATGATTTGTTTAATCATTTTAAGCAAATCTCATTATACGCAGGTGACAGCAAATTACCGGGCCGATAAACCTTAAACGTATTTGATTGAATATACAAATAGCAAACTTTGATCATGATGGCCTTCAAGGGAATATTGACTAATGCTCTCGAGAATGCAAACATAATTAATATTACCTATAAACACAGTCAAAAACTATAACGTTCAATTAAAATTAAACTTTCTAATTATTAAGCTTTCAATGAATTAACTGAATCTAGGTGTAGACTTGGTGCTTTCAAATCTTGAGATTTGATTGTGGCGCTTTCCATTGTTATAGAAATTCAAATAATCTATTTTCTAATCAATAAAAATGTTGGAAAGTCCTACTTACCGGTGAAAAGGTAAAATTTAATGATACTCAATATTTTTGGGCGCAGTTTTATCAATCACTGTGAAATCACATATTTTCAATACGGTTTAATATTCGTGTTTTCGGAGGTATGAAGAGCCCAAAGAATTTTTTGTCAACAACAAAATGCAATTTTTCACGTACATAATTGCTATACATTTCTTCAAGCACAAATTCCTGTGAACCAGTACATTTCCTTCAAACCACAAAAATGAGTCCTAGAAAATATGTGATTTTTCAGTATGTTGACTGCATCTCTCTCTATATAAAGATTAAACCAGAAATTAGTTACAGAATCAAACACATAAATGATATTTTTTTTTTTATTATTTAAAAGGAAAGGGGAGAAAAAAATGGCTGAACCAGCAACAGAAGAAATGTTAAATGATGAGAGAAGACAACCCAACGACATTTATGAAAATTCGGATAGAAACGTCACTGTAGATTACCAGGAACTTGGAGAGCTGGGGAATCCCTCTCATTATGATGCACTACAATAACTGGAACTGGAATAAAGGAGTTAGATACCACAAAATAGATTTATTTTTTAATATAAAGTATACTTTTCACGTTTTTTATATGAAAATAGTTTTATATACTTATATATAAATATATAATTTTCACAATGTCTGGAAAATCCCTTTTTGGCAGTTTTTCTAAACTTATTAACAAGAAACTCAAACAAGAGGCCCCTGGGCCACATAGCTCACCTGAAAAGCTTTGATCATGAAATTCTTAACCAGACCCCCCCCCTCCCTTGTAATACCTACTGTAACTCCACTGTACCCCAAAGGTCATAATTTGGACAAATTAAAATCTACACTACCCCGGGATTCTTCTACAAAGTTTCATGTTTTCTAGCCAATAAGTTTTTGAAAAGAAGATGTTTAAAAAGAATTCCTATATATTTCTTTGTAAAACTTTATCCCTGTTGGCCCCGCCCCACACCCGGGGTCATGATTTCAATAATAGAGAATCTTCACTACCCCAGGATGCTTTCACAAAAGTCCCAGCTTTCCTCGCCCAGTGGTTCTTTAGAAGAAGAATTTTCAAATATGTTTCCTATATATTTCTATGTAAAATTTTGATTTCCTATTGTGGCCCCGCCCAACCCCCGGGGGTTATGATTTAAACAATAAAGAATCTAGACAACCCCAGGATACCTCAACATGCATATAAGTTTCAGCTTTTCTGTCCCAGTTGTTCTTGAGAAGAAGATTATTAATGACCCCACCCTATTTTTGTCTTTTCTTGATTATTTTCCCTTGTGAGAAGACCTGGACCTTCATTTTAAGAATTTTAATTTCCCTTCACTCGAGGAGTTTTTTAGAAAGTTTGTTTAAAATCGGCCCAGTGGTTCTTGAGAAGAAGTCGAAAACGTAAAAAGTTTACAGACGGACAGATGGACGGACGACGGACAATATGTGATCAGAAAAACTCTCTCTCTCTCTCTCTTTCTCTCTCTCCTTGATTTTATAATAACAAACCTCTTCTTTTTAATCTGTCATAATTTTGAACATAATATTAAAAAAATATATGATTATGCAATATCCAACGGTGTCAATATCTAGGATGATAATTTAAGATTTACATTGAAATGGTATAATTCATTCACTTGCATTGAAATTAATGATCAGATGATTTTTCATATTTGTTGATATTTGATGATTGTAATACGATCTTTATATGGTAAATTCATTCATAATTGTAGTTTGGCAGAGATTCTACTTGAAATTATGCAAGTTTTAGTAATATCTTATGGTGAAACATATTTTTTTTTTACATGAAAAACGATAGCTCCCCTTTGGACGGATTAGCAGATTAACATGAAAACGTTAAAAATTACACTATTCTTAATTTGTGCTGCCAAAATCCTTGTTTCATAGATATAATACCCGGTAAGTGTATGCATTTTTATCTTAATTTATTAGTTTTGACCAAATCTAAAGTATTAAGAGACGAGATTTACATGTGAATGCATTGAAATTCTATTTCTCATTTTTTTTTAAAGTTTGGAAACCAATACAAATCAAAGAAAATAAAGAAATCAACTTATTTATGTGAAGAAGAAATCAAAAATTAATGCAATTAAACTTCCTTTTTTACTTAATATTTTAACGTGATTAAAGTTGTTATTTTCAAATGATTTTATAAAACCTTCATTGTTTTGTCCGATCATGAAAACATGTAGTAGAGGATATAAAGATTTTTAAAAATATTATTGTAATTTTTATCCACTGAATCATGAAAAGAAAACTATTATTATTACACAATAAACGGGAAATAATATTAAAGTGTTATTTATGCAAATGCACTGACAATAGTTTTGCTTCGTTTGATATTGTAAAAACAAAATGAAGAGACTTTGAATTGAAAATTGTCATTTATTTTGATCTAATAAATGACGAGACAAATCATGTAAAAATACTAATTAAACAAATTGACAAACATTACACAGTCATTAAAAACATGTGCATAAAATTAATACATTTTGTTAAGCCAGTTATCATAGGTGGGGCATAAAAAATCGCCCATACAGTTTAACTAAACACAAGAACAAAATGATTTAAATCGTTCGATTTATTTCTCTCATCAAACATGACAAGAAGATAAAAATAAAAAGCATTTGGGTGGGACGGTGGGAAAAACAAATCAAAATGACTGGCGAATGTATGTTGACAAGGCAATGCACGCTGGAAGAATGACGGCGTGCGCAAAATAAGCTGAATCTAGTCAGTTGCTGATAAGAGATTATCGGATTACAGGAATGTGAACTGGCGAAGAGAAAAATCAGAGTTGTTCTTCTTGCCATGTCATATGTTTTACATAAATTGATTAATGTTGTAAATTAAGATTTCATGCAAATACACTGACAATAGTTTTCTTCGTTTGATATTGTAAAAACAAAATGAAGAGAGTTTGAATTGAAAATTGTCATTTATTTTGATCGAGACAAATCATGCAAAAATACTAATTAAACAAAATGACAAACATTACACAATCATAAAAAAACATGTGCATAAAATTAACAAATACATTTTGTTAAGCCAATTATCATAGGTGGGGCATAAAAAATCGCCACCTTATTGTGTTCATGGGGAAACTATGAATACAATAAACCCCACCCAATACTATTGTCTTCAGTGAATATGATATATGGTAACATTCACATAAAGAATACAAATTACATTTGTGTTATACAAAAGTACTTAAATGATGTACAAGTAATGGTCAGCATTTCCCTTTTAAGAAATGTCAGAGGCCCTTGTCCTCGTGGCAAAACTTTACATATTATTTGTGCAGCAATAAGTAACAAAATGTTTTCATGCAAAGCTACATTACCTGTTATGAAGTCAGAGGCCAATGTTTCCATGACCAAGTGTCTAATTGTAAGTGACAACAAACTCTCAGCCATAGATCACTAGCAATTGTGGAATCAGAGGCCCGTGTCCCCATGACCCAGTGTCAAATTTCAAATGACAACAAACTCTCGCCCATAGTTCACTAGCAATTGTGGAATCAGAGGTCCATGTCCCCGTGAACCAGTGTTAAATTTCAAAAGTCTGAAAGTCATTACCTACGGCAACAAATATACAGATTAACCGAAAGGAAAACTACTGTTCAAAAACCTGCTGACCCTCACCTAAGCGTTCGCGAAGAAATAAAGGGTTGAAATACTAATTTATACTATTTGATCAGAGACCCATGACCCCATGATCATATTCATCTAAATATGAAGCACAGGGATTTTTATTTACTTTTTAAAAGCGTCGGAATGCCATCTTCCCATTCGTTTGATTTTTTCCTCTGAAATTCCCATTGCTGCAGCGTATGTTGCAGCTCCTATTCGAAAACTGTGGCCTTTATAATGACTCGTATTTAGCCATGCCCATTTAAGAGACATTTGTAAATAATTTGTAAAATGTTGTCTTAGTAATCCATCACCATTTGGATATGCAAACAAAGGGCCTGGTGACTGGCCTCTACCTTTAAGAAATAGCTGAATAGCCTGAATAGGACAAAATTGCTCTTCCAATTCGTTTCTTTGTAGAATCAACGTGGGTATATGTTTGCCTGCACTATGTTTGAAATTATCCATTGTGATCTCAAGAGATTCACTGGAATTTATTTTATCCGAAACGAGTTTTACATTGGCCAGATTTAATACGTTTTTAACGTTCGTAAACGAAACTGTTATTTCACCAACCCTTAAAAAGCATGGAAAGCCAGCAAATACATTGCCCTTAGCATACTGCATTGATAGGCTGAAATGTCTAACTTGTATAAAGAAGTCACAAGCTGTTTCAGAATTGACTTTATTATGGGCAATCTTGTGTCACTTCCTACAGTTTTTAACTTTTGATATCCCTGTAGCATTTTGCGAATTATAAATTGTTGTGATGGATCTTCAAAACCTTGAATTTTGAAATTATGACTAAGAGCCGAAATGTAAGTTTTCAAGGTTGATGCTGCGATGTTACTTTGAAAACAAAAAGCTATAAAAAGCGCCAAATGCTCAGTAGTAGGAGGCAGTAAAGAGACATTAGGAAAGTAGGTTGACATAAAGTCAGCGTAAAAAGCTAATGTTTTTTTTCATAAGCTGCCCTTGATGTAGGAACGAGGGAATTCTTCAGAATAGCTGTTGATATATCTTTCAGAATGTTAGCATTGTTGGGTGAACTGCTGATGGCACTGGGTCAATATTTGTACATAGGTCCTGAAATTCCCGGACCTGCAAGCGAGAAAGGCGATCAGCAGCTACATTAAGAACACCTGGAATATGTGTTGCTTTGAAAAGAATATTATATTGTAATGTATTTACTATAAAACGACGCATATACTTCATAATTATTGGGTCTGCTGAAGTTTGTTTGTTAATGATGTATACCACTGCAATGTTATCTGAATAGAAATTAATACAGGAGTTCCGTAAATCAGATGCCCATAGTTCTAAAGTTATCACAATAGGAAGCAATTCTCTGACTGTAATGTGAAACTTGCACCACTCTTGTGGCCATTTTCCGAAGAACCACTTTGTTCTAAATGTATCCCCAAACCAAAGGTCACTTGCATCCATATACATACATAGTGTTTCAGAGGTTTCCCACCTATCATCTAATATTAATAACCTACCATTAAAACTATCTTTGCAAGCTTCAAGATCAACCCTAGCCTCTGTGTTGAAACGCCGTTTGAAATGGGGTAGTTTAAGCCTTTTGTGAGGTCGATTAGCCGTCGTAGGAAAGTGCGACCTGGTCAGCCGCGCAAGCAAAGTTTTGTAATCCAATCAAAGATTGTAATTCTTTTAGACTTACTTTTTTTCTGTGCTTAAACGAATCTATTGAATCTCTTAGCTTATCAAGCTTATCCCTTGGTAACCTATATTCCATAGTTACATGTAGTGAATCTACTTCTAGACCTAAAAATGTTATTGTCGTTGTGGGATACACTGTTTTCTCGTTCTTAATTGGGATACCTATGTCATTACATTATTGAAGGAAGTTCTC